CAGAACTGTTGTGTGTCAGAGTCCGGAGTGACAATCCAAGGTGGGCACAGGAGTGATAGATTCTCGTTTACAGGGACCACCTCCGTAAATCTGGGGAAAAGAGCCAAGTTAGGATTACAGAAACAATACGTTAACATGCTTAAAACTGCTTGCAAACCCTTCACGGAAAAAAACATATATTAATGCATGCCTTGCCTTTAGTTTTTCCTATTGTTATATCCACTATGCTCCATTTCTTGATGTAACTTTTATTTTTCATTGTAGTTACGTTTTGTTATATCATTATCACGTTTGTTCTCTACATTGTATTGCATTACTGTGCTGATGTTTTTATGTTATTCTCTTTGTAAAACCTCAAATAGGTAATTAGCATTACACATAGCTACAAGGCACATTACATTTCATTTAGCTGACGCTTTTATCCAAAGCGACTTAAAATAAGTGCATTCGACCAAGAAGATTCAAACTTGAATAAAACAGAATCATATAAGTACATCAGGTTTCATAGAGCCAAAACATTTCAAGTGCTACTCAACTAGCTTCAGATAAGCCAGTCCTTTATTAGTATATAAGTGCTTTGTTAGTAATTCTATCGCTCGAAGTGGAGTCGAAAGAGATGAGTTCAGTCAGAAAACTTAGCCGTAAAACTATGCCGTTTGATCTCAATTGTAACAGATATAGAAAAATGACAATGGGATCAATTATGTCAGCTCCAATCGGCTGTGTATGTGGTATAAAGAAAGGAAAAGGTTAAATACCGACGCTAACACACCGTAATGTGCTAAAAACAATAGCAGCTTTGAATGTAGCATTACAGGCTAACATTAGCAGCTAATCTTAGCGCCGCGGCTTTCTGCACCATACATCCTAGAATTAGCCGTTAAGTTGACAACTTACCCAGTAAAACAAACACTATCTGTCCATGTTTTGGGGTCGTTGCGGGGAATATAGGTGAGTTTGATACAAAAAGAGTCCCTCAAATTGCCTCGGCACAGCTAGAAAAATGATCGAGGTTATCTCGTTCACTACTTCCGCTTTGTTTATATCTATTTCCGGTGAAAACATGAAGCCTCTACTCTGCCACCTACTGGATACCTTTTGGAACTACACCATTATTAAACCAATTGATGATATGGAAATACAATTACAGCATTTTGAATTCAATACGAAGAGATATATCCCATTAATAACAAGTATAATACTTAAACAAATGTGTAACAATAATCAATCAAAATGCTTCCTTAAGGATGTAATGTAAATCATAATTTGATAGAATAATGGCAATATTTCAAATAATAAAAAATGCATTCATAGAGCAAAAAACATTTAAAGTAATAAAGAAATAATAGGTTTTTGTTGGATAAGTTATAACAATGAAACAAAACATCTTCAAATTCAAGCATTTATTATAATATTCGCATTACGCCCTTATTGTGAATCATGCTGATTTAGACATACCACCTACATATTGTTTTAAAACAACCACCTACAGAGCACTTTGTTAGATTTGTTCAAGGTTTATGTGGTTTAATCTCTAATGAAGTTATAGGAAGTAGTGCATATCCTTTGCAGTGACGGGCATAAGGATATAATACAGTCTAAGAACAACTTCTCCAAATATACAGGCCATACTTGTCAACCCTCCCGATTTTCGCGGGAGACTCCCGATTTCATTGCCCTCTCCCGGTTCCCTCCCGGGGTCATATTTCTCCCGCATTTCTCCCGATTTCTGACAAAATCAGATTTACATACGACTGTTTCCACTCGGACTTTAATACAGCTACACCATTGTTTGGTTTCCATGGTAACACGTCTCTTTAGTAGCAAGCGCAACTCAAAGTCTGAGAGGTTGAGGGAGATATTGACAGAAAACAGAACAAGAATCGACAACTACTCTACTCTCTGCTCACTCCTTTCCTGCAGTGCACTTACAACTACAATAAGCATGTTAATGTTAATCTAACAGCTCCGGCGATCCACTAGCACCCCCCCCACCCCCCCCATTTTGCATTTTGAAATGCTCCCGATTTCTGAGGTTTAAAGGTTGGCAAGTATGATACAGGTCCCTTGCAGGTAATTGTTACTGTTTACATGGAGGGTATACACCCCTAATTATTGTATGCATTGTTTGTGTCGCATGTGTGCTAATTTTAAGATGTTTTAAAGGTTTATTTGATTGTGAACACAAAGGCCTATATACTTTTATCTTAAATATTATTAAGGCTGGTGTACACTTTCTGATTTGTGTAGATAGGTGCATAGGGGGAAAACGTCAGAGTTATGAGAAAAGGGAACACTGTCGTTTGCTTGCTCTGACCGACATGTATTTGTGACACAATGTTTCGCTTGTTGAAGGAGCACTATATTATTGTAGTAATAGAATATCAGTGGGAGAAAATATAGTGTATGCCTATTTATTTAATAAGCTATCCATGATTTATGAAGAAAATCGAACAGACCTGGATCTAACTGAAAGTGAAAAAAATGGGATTTCAATGATGTGTGACTCAGTTAGTCACACTAAGTGTGCGTTCAGCAAACGCTTGTGATGCTCTGTAGGCTATTTGATGGACTGAATCTCTTTCGATTTCATTCCCGCTCATCTCAATGGTCGAAGCGAGTGAAGCGTAAAATGCTTGCTGGCTCGGTGTTATGTGTATCACGCAAGGGAAATTACGAAACTCTGCTTTTACATGTTAAGACATCTCTCGAAACCTGTTGAACTTAGTTATAAAACATACTGACCTCAACAACAAGCTCAGACAGCAAACGTGAAGGATCTGACTCTGCCCAGAGATTGGTGACGCACTGGGACTGAATTTAATTATCACTGGAGCACTTCCTTCATTTACACTTCACATAAACAATTTCAGGCGTCTATTCACCTCATATTATATGTCATGACCAGAGACATTAAAAAGAAAATGAACTATTTTGATTCGCATGGTTGTTTTGTTTAATACTTTCACAATATCGGACTACTTTGAAGCTACTTCCTCAAAATACAAGCCACTCCTACACCTCGGCATACATAAATACTGTGCAAGTTTCATTTCAGATAAGAGGCTTCACAAGAGCGCGCACCATTTCGCCACAGTATTGAGAACATATTTTGAACAATCATGAAGGTTCTTCTTGTTTCTGCAGTGGTTGCCCTGATCCATGGCAGCTATGGTAAATCTGTTTTATTTCCTCATGTAATGTTTTACAATCTAGTAAAAACATAATTTGTTTTTGCTGCATTGGAAAAATCTATTTAATCCTCAAGTCTTGTTCTGGGGTTTTTAACTTCCATATTCATACATTTGTTGTTGGATTATTGTGTGTGTTTGTGTGTATGTGTGTGTTCCTGCCTGTTTCACTGCTTGCTTGCTTGCTTGTCTGTTTCGTAGTGCGTATGTCCTCAAGAGGAAACGCTTTATTTTCTCTTCTGTCACGCTGATGGGTTTCCCCTTGTGGCAACACAGACTGAAGCAAGAAGTGTTTGTTGTATCATCAAGGGACTGGCAAGAAAAACAATGTTGTATATATAGATGTGTATGTATTTACACTTATCCTATTGAATACAAATATATGTTCAGTTTAAACTCATTGCTTAACTGTACAAAAGAATGCAAACTATGTCTGGGGTATGCAATAGTTCTCGTGTGTGAACAACAAATAGATGACTGTCAGAAGTTCAGCGAAGGAAGTGGAATAACCTGTTGTTGGTCATGTGGCCATGGGGACTTTGAGAGTATTGGCAGTGTTCCCACAGGAGCAGGAAACAAAATGTCAGCAAAAGGCAGCGGTTGTTTAGAAAGTATTGCCCAGAACAGCAGCTAGATCCCCCAGGCCGATCCCCAGTGAGCCCCCTGCCCATTTATGTTGTGATCAATAACCAGCATGTGTAATCTCTGTCCACACGCAGCCACTTTGCTCATTAAAGGGCCGACCCAGCCGGTCCTGGAGGGAGAGAGCGTCACCCTGGAGTGTCACTACTCTGACTCTGAAGCCAACATCAGCCAGGTCCACTTTGAGAAATTTGCTGAGGTGAGCCACGGAAACAAATGGGTCGGTGGGAGGGAGAGGAAACAGCGGAAACAAGTTTCAAAAACTCAGATTACTTATCTCGTTATTGTTTGCCTACAACGCTGCAGGAAATAAATGGCAAACAGTGTTATATTGCTGAAAATTGTAATACCTCTTGGAGTGTTTTATTATGTTGTTATTTTTAACTTAAAGGCGGATACTGCTCATATAAAAACCCTCTTAACATTGCCACATGTAGGGCTGCTCGATTATGGAAAAAATCATAATCTCGATTATTTGGATCAACAATTGATATCACGATTATTAAAAACGAATATCCATTTGCTTTGAAAACATCCATGTATTGAAAAAAAATGTAACAGTATGTTTTTAACAGTTGATTACCCTGAACTTTAAGTATAATTCAACTGAAAAATCATTTTATTTCGATTACGTTGTTTTCGTAATCGTTGCAAGCCAAAATCGTAATTGCGATTAAAATATGATTAATTGAGCAGCCCTAGTCACATGATGACATTTATAACCTAAACTCATTTGAATTGGCTGCCAATATATGGACTATCTACTGCTTTATGTAAATGTCACATTGTGGTGCAACTGGCTGATGTTTAGTTCAACAAATGTGAGAATTGAAAATAACACATTTTGTCTTTCCCCTAACAGTACATGCAGAAGTGGCTTCCAGTTCGTGAGCGCTTTTGGTGCTACAATCCGAAGCCCGTCGTGCAGTCTGACCGTCTCACCCTGACCCTCCCCCACCCAGGGAGGTTCAATGAAGGGTCCTACCGCTGTGTGTCCAACACCGAAAATGCGACTGAGCAGGAGCGATCCTCCGAGCCGCTGACCTTCAAAGTGTATTGTGAGTGTGCAGGTTGATATGAGTAGGAGCTGTCTGCTGTAACTCTGTGAAACAATGACTCATTTTGATACATACAGAAAACTCTAGATCCTACTGTGAACATTTGAGTTGCAAATAAGATACTGAGTTTCTCTTTCCATGAAGGAAATGTTTGACTACTGACCGATAAGGAAGCATAAAAAACACCTGATTGTACATTGGGAAACAATCCAGACGAGAAGACAGAACAGAGAGACTCAGGAATCTTCAAATTTTTTCGTTCATATTTCCAACCAGCGGGAGGTAAAGACATTTTTTCAGACAGTCTGGACTTAGCTTTCTTCACAGTGAGGGATAGAAAAACACATTAATAGTTAATAAGACAAGACCTATCTGTGCAATGCAGCTGCAGAGGGCTTACAACAAAACAACTGTAAGTAGTTCACGCGCCGTGTTGCCATGACGTGTTGAGTACAGTCATTTCATTTTTTCTTTCCCTCTGCACTCCAAGCAAACAAAGAAAGCATTCTCCCAGTGGGACTGAAGTTTGAAGCTATCAATGCAGGATACACAGTTGCATGAAATGGCGTAGCTAGTCACATTATCAGTGTCATCTATCTTCTCAGTGGCCATCAAATCGACCGTAATACTGTTTGATCGGCTCCTCAGCCTCATGGGGGGAATCAATAAGAGGCAAAGATTAGAACGGACTAAAGGACTGAAAGAGGGCGGAGAGGGAGAGAAGCCATGAACTGGAGGAACGTGGGCCATCTATTGAGATAGAAGATGAGCCATTATTCACAACACTGCCCCTCTAAAGACTTCGATAAGATGAAGCCTATTATCATTATTATTGATCGCTTGGGACAGTGTGTACCACTGGGAGGCATTCATACTTCTTTATTCTTAAAAGATCTGCTGCCACTGAAAACGTGTATTCAGTCACGCCTCGAACTCTTGAAGCCTCAGCGAACAGGAAATGTCTTGCTTCATTAATGCGTGATCGTTCCCCCTCATTTCCCGCTGGTTTTAGACATGGGAGAGCTGTTACTGACAAGGGCCGGGTTCACCAGCTACCTGGGGGTCTCTACGGAGCTGAAGGTGCGACTCGGGGACGAAGTGGTGTTGAAGTGCTCCGCCGGATCATCAGAGGAACCCACCTACTTCTGGAGTAAAGACGTGAGAAAGACTCAATTTTCCCCCAGTGTCCTCATTATGCCTTTGGAAGCTTGTCATGCTCTCTCCGGCTCCCTCCCTCCACTTTTCGATGTGACCTCTTTATTTTCTTTGCTGTCTTGTTCCAGTCTTTCTGGGCCCCTATTTCTCTCTTGGCTTCCCTCACAGCACTCTCTCCTCCTCCAACACGGTTTCTCTCTGTGAGTTTGTCAGGCACCTATTTTCTCCTCGGCTGTCGCTGTCCCACCCCCTCGTCACAAGAAGTGCCCTGTATTTAAGTGACCGGTTGGCTTAGGCCCACCACTCACTGGGGATTGCAGCTTGCCCACTTACAGAGGATTAATAGTTTAATGAGGTCTAGACAAGAGCCAGTCAACCTGAAAACAATTATGCAGATAGATTTCTAATGATTTTTTTTTTTGTGTTTGGTTAACCAGTATTGAATTATTCAACTGGGCTCTTCACTAAGCTAAGGAACTCTTGCCCGAGGGAAATTAACACGTCTCCGTGTAAAATGCCAAAGTGACAATAGGCATGTAGACGAAGAATAAGTTGATGAGCCGGGACATACACCGTGCCCTTGTGGTGAGAAAATGGTATTGCTTTTTCAAGGTGTCATCAACATAACAACAGCTGCCAGCAGCAAGTCAGGGAAGTAATGAAGCTACGCAACCGTGAAGATACCTCGGGATCAGGCAGACTTAATTGCCAAGTTTTCCCTTTTGTTATTCTTTTTGATAAGTCGGCTCAAGGTTAATATGCTTGTTAAAGGGTCACTGTTAATCCAGGTTTTAAATGGGCTTACAAGTCCAAATCCAATTCAGTGGATATTTTATACTGCTAACACTGTGTGTCCTTCGATCATATGCAGTGCTTCAGGGTTTTGGTTCCTTATTTGTTAAAGATACAGCTCTGTCACATTACTGGCAGGCCGGTCGTTAATGATTCACATGTCAAATTATTCGTAAATCATTTACATAAATCAGAAGAGGTTTGGTAGAGAGGTGTGACACAAGGAGATGATAACATGAGATTACATTTTGTTGTGTCTATTTACTGTACGTATGACAGGAATAGATATGGGGAAGAAAGTGGCATCCGGATGGCCTACTTTGACAGACAGCTTCCTTGGTGTGGGCACATTGGCCCCCGGTAATGACAGCAGGACAGAGGCAGGGACGGGCCACTGCTTAGGCAGCCAGTGGATTTGCATACAAAATGCTGCTTTGGCCGGACCTGGCCTTTATGGGAAATCCTCTTAATTCAGATCCATTCAAATTGAAATGCACTTTCTTGGCAGGAGCTGCAGCTCCCATGAGCCAAATCATTTGCATGGTGTAATGTCTTCTTTTTTTTTTACCTCATCCTCCATGTACGTTTGTTTTCCAATCCTTGTGCTTGGCCTATTATTTGTTTCCTCCCATGTCGGGCTCTATCTCATAATAGTGCTGCTATTTTTGTGTCAACAATTCGTCCCGCTCCCTCGCCATCTCATTACGTGTTGCGTTAACAGTCTGTGGTTATTATTATTCTTTGCCAATGATGGTGTTATCTGGGTTATTGACTTGTGTCGACGTGTGTTCATCCATTTGGATTACTGCTCAGGTAAATACTCTTCATTTGGGACTTTGGGGACTGTTCTCTGAGGGCAGTTTATGTCTTGCTTTCTCTCTTTACCCCGCTGCCATTTCAATCTTTCTGTTTCTCCCTTTCCTATTTTATTTTGTTCTCTTTTCGCCCCTCTTTTTATTCATATAGAAAATCAGACAAAATAACACTTTATTCCCCCTTTCTTTCTCTTACTCTCTCCCTCAAGTCTGACAGTTTCTCTTTTTCCTTCTGTCTCTCTGTCTCTTAGCCAACAACCTTCATTTATTCTCAAATCTTCTTGTGCTTTCAGCTCAGCACAATTAACATTTTCCACGAGTTAGTTGATTCCCTTAGGGCTGCAAAAAATCCAGCCAATTTCTCTTCTTCTACTTCCTGACCTCCTTTCTGTTTGTTTCACTCTCCTCACGCTCTCTTGTATGTCTCCATCTTTCTCTCAGGGTGACGACTGGATCCTGCCATCCTCCACGCTGACGCTGAGCAAGATGACAGCGGCCGATGAAGGGCAGTACACCTGCGTAGCCGAGCATCCCTCTGTGGAGACACTCACCAAGAAACGCACCATCAGCATCGCCGTGCTTCCTGGTGAGAGAACACTGTAAACCCTGTTGTCCTCTATACTGACTGTTGTAGACTTGAGCGGTCGCTTCTGCTTCCTCTTTGTAAAATACCTATTTAGGCTTTCTTTGTAACTCTCTGGAAATTCAACTGTCTACATCCTCATAGCACAAACAAAATCAAACATTGTGTTTTTGTTTCTTTTCAATCAGCCACTTAAATGTGACCAGACAGTTAAGGTGTCTGAGTGCATTTACGTCATCCAGAACAAATGCAGAAGTGTGAAAGCCTTTTTGCGGAAGAAGTAATGCAGGAATGAGGTTTCATTTATCTGCACACGTAAATGATAATAACACAGAACAAGACGTCTGATGCTGTGTGTTAAAGACAGGGGAAGGCATTTAACGAGAACTCCTCACAGAAAAAAGGTGACAAAGAAAGGAAATTACCTCTAAAATGAAAAAGAGGTACGATGATTGCAGAGAACATTAGTACATTTAAAAATATATAAATACTTCAGAGGACAGGGGGATGGTTATTAAATAAAAGGAAGCCATTACTTGACCTGACCTTTTGATTTATTCTTCTTTTGAAGCTTTTGAAACAGAAGTGAGTACATGGCAGAGAGACTTAGTGCTTAGTTAAAAATACTTATGCCATTTGGAAATGACATTTGAGAGCATGCAATAGGCTGCTGTATTATTATTATTATTATTATTATTATTATTATTATTATTATTATTATTATTATTATTATGTATGAGTTTTCTGAGATATAGATGGTCATCACGAAGTATTCAGTACATTATAAAAATAAAATGTTGGTAGAGACTTTTATTAAGAAGTCCTGCTGTCTGTGAGTGTTTGAAGCTGAATGTCTATGAAGTTTTCTTTGTGTGAATCTGCATGACTGACAAGCATAATTATCATCAAACAGGAATATTGTATTCAAGTGGAAAGCTAATTTTATTACAACATTATTGCTAATCCAATTTATGGCCCTTCATCTGTCTTCATCACCTGTATCAGTGACCTGTGAGATGACTGCACTGTGTTAATGCACTGTTTTTTTGTACAACCTGTTCTGCCGCCCACTAGGATTCATAAGCCTTGTGATTTCAATTGTTGAAATTATGCAACCTCTAAAAAAGCAATTACGCCAATACATGTTTTTTTCCTACAGTAGAGCTATCTTATTACTTCTGCAATTGACTCATCAGTCACTGCGCTACATTGCGTCTCCAGTGTTTCCTCTGAAGCACATATAGTAATTAAAAAGCTAATCATTTCTATATGGAATAATGTTTGCTTATGCAAATGTTGCATGTCGCTGCTGTTGCTTTGAAGTTGTACTACAATAGCTGTTCAAACCAAAGCAAACATTCCTGTTGCCAGGAAATCCTCTTAACATACGGAATGGCTGTATATGTGAGAAAGCAAAGCATGTGTTTGCTGCCTCAAATCCTCACAGCCATAATTCTTCAATCTTGAGTTAGTCCTGTGCTCTAAAGAAGGGGGTTTTAGAACACAAGGTCCACAAATGTTTTATATAATGTGTGAATGTAAGCACAGAAAGGGCATAACCACAATATTGCTTTACATTTTGAGAAGCAGACTTGTTAAAGGTCAGTGCTTTGTACAGCAACAAGGCTGTCTGAACTCTTTTCTCCCACAAACAAACAGGAGTTTGTCTTCAGAAGCTGCGCCTGGAGGAAGGAAGCTTGTAGTTGCTGATTTCAGAGTCTGTGTGATGCATGTTTTCCTTCATGTCTGACTGATCTGTCCCACAGAGGATGCCCGCTGGTATGAGTCTAGTGATGGGCAGCTCATCTTGATGATCTCGGCAGCGGCTGCCGCTCTCTTGGTGTTCCTGCTCTCCATGAGTGTGTTCCTGTGCCGCAGGGCCAAGCAGGCCAAGACCAGCAAGGGACCGATGTAAGAAACCACTGTGTGTGTGTGTGTGTGTGTGTGTGTGTGTGTGTGTGTGTGTGTGTGTGTGTGTGTGTGTGTGTGTGTGTGTGTGTGTGTGTGTGTGTGTGTGTGTGTGTCTCGGTTCCTCTTCCCTAATGTCACGAGCTGGCTCAGGGAAAGTCACAATGAGGGAGTCCGCCCTAGGTTATTCTTAAAACAAACATCATTTATTATGCATTACTCAAATGGACAATGGAGTGTGTAGATCAGCATGAAAGCGCGCTGGGTGTTGAAGGTGAAAAACCAAATACAATGAAAGGGTGGATACCAGCGGTAGGAAGGTAGAGTCATAATGTGACCTTGTTTATTTTGACTTTCAGTTAACTGCAGCTGCCCGAACAATATACAGTTGCATGCTGTATGCTGTCGGACATTCCAGTATATATTGCATACTGCATTTGACTTACTATTTATTTGAACGTACTTATTCTTTTCCTGACATACTAAATAGTTTGGTAGTCCGGATGTTGGAACACACAATGTCAGAAAAAGTGTAAACGCATGGGGCATTTTTCAGGCTGAGAGACAGACGAGCTTAATCAGGCCGACGTCCCTTCATTGCCAGCCAACTGCCAGCTGAGGTTGGCCATATTCAGAATCTGATGGATAACGTGCCTCTGAATATGTGTGTGTGTGTGTGTGTGTGTGTGTGTGTGTGTGTGTGTGTGTGTGTGTGTGTGTATATAAAGAGGAAGCTCTGCAGGGATGCTTCCTCCTTTCTGCATGTCTTCCCTCAAAAACAAAAATGCTTGTGAGGAATATTTGATGGGTTTAAGGAGAGAGGGGGGGGGGTTAGGATTAGTGTCGACCTTCACGCTCTTAAATCGCACTCGTGTCCCCATTTTGTCTCTTGGTGTGTATGTGTGTGAGACCTCCACCCCCTCCTCATGTCTCTTCTGTGTGTTTTCAGAACCAGCTGAGGGATGACCCTGACTTCATGCATGGCGAGGGCGGCGACCTTTCCTTCACGTTTGGAGACACCACCATCACGGCCAACGGGGCATCTGGCAGCGGGGGGGCGGGTGGAGGAGGGGGGGAAACAGCCGGAGCGTCGGGCTGGAGCATGAACGGCAGGAGGAGCGGCAGCACCTCGGAGGAGGCACTGGAGCGCGAGCTGGACTCCCGTGAACAGGAGCTGCTGAGCCGGGGAACTCGACTTGTTTTCCCCATCGAGGATCACATCTGACCGCCATGTTTGTAGTCCTTCAGAGACGAGAGGTATTATGGGAGGATAAGACGGGAGAGTGCCCCGGGAGCAGAGCTCGAGAAAGATTGTCATGCTCCAGGAGACGTGCATCCTCTCCATCCACCTTCACTGATTGTTTCCTTGCATTATCAGAAGGACAACAAATATCCCCGTGCCAGATTCAGGCTGTTTTTGAACATGTGACACTGTGCGTGCAGCCGAAAAAGAAGAAGACTCATCCTGAGATCCGACCAAAATGCTTCTTCGCCATCACGCCCTGAAACCCAAACTTTGATAGTTTATAATTCCTCTTTGTACCATTCATCCGAAGCTGCTGACAGTGTTTGGTCTGTTTGTGAGGATGCCCTTTTTGCTTCACAAACACGCTCTTGTGCGGAGGGGATTGTGGGGACCGTGAATGTGTTCGGCCGACACCGCTCATCATGGGTGAAGCAGCGCGGGTGGAGAATGTAAATAGCTACAATGCAAAGCTTTGTTCCCGCTTCTTGTCAGTGCATTTCGTCCCATGACTGTTACAAAAAGCATCTGTTGTGTCCAAGTGTCTGAGCTGGATCTTTGTCTGTGTCCCGGTCTGGTTTTCATTACAACAACATGGACGAGCTTTGGTGCTCATTGTCTCTGCCAAGGCACAGTTTGTCCATTCGTCTGCAGAACAACGACTGGCCCGATTTTCATGAAACTTGGTGGAAGGTTGCAACACGAGACAGAGAAGAAAACATTTGAATTAAGATTGAATCTGTATAATGGGGTTGAAACACAAACTAAGATACACTTTCATTAGCAATGGAAGATCTAGCATTAATGCTGCTTTCATGTAGACCGGTGGTAATCATAACACATGAGTTATTCACATAAAAGTTTAAAAAGCAACACTGAAAGTCAGGGAGCATTTTGGTACGCATTTTATATATTACCAGATTCCTCTGCTCCCCACTGTTATGAATAAATACTGGAAACACTAAAATAGGCCTTCAATACATCTTCTTTTTGGAGTCAATGTTCTTTCCCCATTTCGATTTTAAACTCATGCACTCTGCCTTGGTGGGGGTCTGCGTCTTCTAGCGTCCTATTAGCATGTTGCACTGATGATGGATCTCCGTAGGCTGAGTGTGAAGTTAGCATCACAAGGGCTCCCTCCACAAAAACCGAAAAGGATTTGGATTATTGCGGAAAATAATCTCGGTTTCAAAATCCCATTTATGATACTTACACATTTTGCTCAGCAGGATAATCTCCCCATATTAACACCACTTGATGAGCATTCAAGTAAAAGGGCTAACGTTAGGCTATAAAGGTAAAACAGCGTGGTCACATGGCTTCACGCCACCACCGCTAAGCTAAAGGCGGCTAATGTTGGGTGTGATGACGTTAAAATCTCTTCAGCTTGTGTTAACCTTATTTCAGGTTAACAACCAAAATAACATAAAAAATAACCCTTGACTTCGAGACTAGAGAACCGAAAAAGCTAGAATTAAAATAAATGTCTGACTTTAGGACTCTTTCCTGCACCACTCAATGAAGGCAAATTCAACATTATAAAAGTAAAGAGTGCAGACCTCCTCGAAGTACATCTCAAATTTGCTTGCTTCACCTCCACACTAAGTTTCATGAAGAGTGGGTCAGTCGTTTTTACGTAATCCTGAACACAGTTAAACAAAAAAGTAAGCTTCTTGGCGTAGTTGTTTTTTTTCACGCATCAATTTGTGTTCGACTTAAATAACAATCATTTTCATTATCAATTAATCTGTTCATGATTTTTCAAATGTTATGGATTTGTTGTTTAGTTCATGAATGAGAGAAAATAGTAAAACATCTCCATCACCATTTATAAGAACTTGTTCAAATCGCTTGTTTTGTTCAGAAGTCTTTCATCAAATCCTCCATCAATAACATTTATCCAACAACTTTAAATGTAACTGTTCTTTCTGAAACCTATAATCCCAAATAAAGAAGAGCAGCCACTTTTAACAAATACTGACCATTGTGCCAAGTGCTTAAAAACAACCTTATAATCAGCGTTATTTACGTTATTTCCCCCCATATAGAAATACACGGTAATAAAGACACTTCCGTAAGCTCTGATTACATTAAACCTGATTCCCCATTTATCCGATAATGCACATAATGAGTAGAAACACAGGTTTTCCTGTTAAGCGTTCTTATTTATTATAAAATGAAGCATCTTGATTCTTGTTTGAATTAAGTTACAATATTTCTCCCGCAGAAAATCTGAGCAGTTTTTAATGAGACGTTAGAGAGCAACCTGTGTGTGCATGAGTCTCTGTATTCATTTGACATTTTCTCACAACTGATCAATATGGTTTGCATCCTCACTCCATGTGAATTAGTAATTATGTATACTGCATAGATAAAGCTAATATGACCTTCTGATTACAAGGGGTTCTGCAGGTTTCTTAATGTTTTGGGGTCAAACGGGCAAAAGGAAAATGAGTATGAATGAAAATATGTCCTAAACTAACTTACGTACATGCATATATTAAAATCTGTCAATAAAACTATATTAATTGATATGGGGTAAGACCAAAAAGCTGATTGTTAACGGCTTTGCATGCAGCCAACTGTGTGTATCCAACAATTGGAGTATATTATATTATATCAGACTTCTCTAATAGGTTATGGGTTAAAACAGTCGTAGCAATGTTTAATTGCAGTTACACAAAACAGTAAAGCATTCAAGACAATCTGACCTTTTTAAAACCTACTTATCAATAGAATATAAGACTATTAATGACCTGCAGACGCCCTGTTTCGTTTCCTCAATTTTTGTTGGGAATTCCAGCTGCAGCATGATTTTGAGGGCAGATTTTTATATTTTTAACTCTTATCATATAATGTAAATAGTAGCATAGTAACTGACTAAAACTCCCTGATCCTGGGTTTGGGAGGTTTTTATTTTGTTTTTATTTGTCCGGACTCATGTTGTGTTCCTTTGTTTTACCGCGTCAAGAGTCTAGACCCGTTTTAAATGCACTACAGAGCACGTGTCGCCTTTTTAAAAAAAAAATTTTTTTTACATTCTTTAACACGGTGGCTGCTGCATTAATGTATGAGTAACCCCCGAGGGCAGGTGTGAAAGACGTGATTGTCAAAGTGCAGCGACCGAGGACCTCCGAAGTGGAAATGAATCTAGTTATGTAAGCTGTTGCCAAGCTGCGTGCACTGAGGGTCATTGAAATTCTTGATGGAGTGAGACGCTAACGTTTTCTTTCACAGTCTCATGATAGGGGAGCTCCTTTTAGTCTCAACAAGGCCTGGGCTGCGGTCGAATAGTCCCAAAACATTACGTACTGTGTTTCCTCAACTCTTATTCTTGCAATACATTATTAAAAAAAAAGGAACAGTGACAAACTCAATAAAGCTCAAGATTCATGTCCAAAACAGAATGACATCGTCTAAGAAAGGATGTTTCCAAAGTGCACCGTCAAACAGAAGCGTTCAATCTTTTAAAGCCTTATTGCTCCCTTATTGTGTGTCAGGGCCTTTAAATCAGGGGTGTCCAAACTACGGCCTGACGGCAAAATGTGGCCCGTGGGCCATTTTGAATCGGCCCACAGCAAATAAAAAAAGTATAATAAAATATAGCCCGCAAATGAAACTTCTGCTCGTCTCATATTGTACTTCTTAAATATATATGTTAAAATATATTACACCTTATTCATGAGTAAATAAGCCCAATTTTCAAATAAATCCCATCAATTAAAGTTGAAAACATTTTTCTAACAAATCTAAATTGATAAGAAAAAAGCCCAATAAATTATTTACATAATCTGAGGCTTCTGTTTTAAGGAATGAGCTGCCAACCAAATAAATGAAACCCTATGGAGAGCTGTTTTTTTCTTAAAGCATTTTTAAGTATCAAGAATAATTTACCTACATTTGATTGATTCTGCTAACTTATAACTGAACTTGTGAGGCAATATACCAGTGGCCCAGCCCTTTGTATATGTTTCTGTATGTGGCCCTCAGTTAAAATAGTTTGGACACCCCTGCTCTAAACTCACATGTGGAGCCAAAGCCCTAATTATATATAATAAAGGTTGCTTAAAAGCTGAACAAGTTTGACGTGTATAAACATTCCGGGATCTTTTGATGATCCTCCGGTTCCATGGGAGACTAAAAAACTTTTGGTTTAGCCCTGCACATAACTTTATTGAGGATAAATATATAACAATGTCATGCAGCTCTCCAAATGTTATCCGCTTGACTGGTACAAATTCCCAAATAATTATCTACAATTTTCCTTGATGTAATAGTCTAAAAACGTTTTTGGATCCCATGTCATCACGTGATGGTCCCTTTTAGTTTTAATTACACGGTTTGAACACTATTTCAAATTGGCTTCAAAGCCTGGTGCTTCTCCTGCGGGGTTCATTTAAAAATATTCCGGCTGCAGAATATCGTGGGCCAGCATTATCCCCTTTATTTTGGATACAATGTGGTGCATATATATATTCGAATATGAATGTTCTTAAGACCGGACGAGGCAGGCTTGTAAACAAATACAAGTAAACGTAGGATGTTTTTCTGGATAAATAGCTCTATACATTCAAAATGTATTTTGATAATTTGTTTTTCTATCCATGGTCTATGAACTAGGTCAGTGGTCCTCAGAGTTACTGCCCGATTTAAAGATATTATGGATGGTGGATGGATAAATATTATGGTTATTGTTTTGATGTTTTTCTTCAAATACTAAAATCTATCTGAAAATACATATTACATGAATCAAAGATACTATAACAACTAACATAGTCTTTCTGTAAAAAACTAAAAAACATTAATCCACCAACATTGATAAATGTCTATAAACCAGGAGTCCTTTTGCAATCACGCTAGCTAGCTAAACTGTGCTAAATCACTGCGCTTCACCTATTCATACATGCTAACGAGTTAGCTACAGCTACGTTTTACTATTTTAACAGTACAGTATGTTTTATATGTACCATAAGGTCTGTTTATATATTGCACTTGAAGCTGCCCCATGGTTATTGTTGTCCTAGTTTAAAAAGCAACACAGTTTCATAAGTGGAAACGTTTCTCTTTCATTGAAAACCCTGATCAATGTGGAGTGATGTTAAGATATCAAATATAATCAAGTATAAAACAGCCTTGTGTAAATAACACTCAAATCACCCAACAATGATGATAGTCAGACTCAGCTAGCTAAACTGTGCTAAAAAAACAGTGAGACACCTAGCCATACATGCTAACTAGTTAGCAACAGCTACATTTTACAATTTTTGTAGTACAGTACTTATTGTATGCACTATAAGGTCTGTTTATAAATGTTTGGCAATTTAAGCCGCTCTATAGGTTATTCATTTTAATATAACTTATAGTTTATTAAGCAATTGTATACTGTATGTAAAAGAGGCTCTGTGCTCCCTTTTTCTCTTTCAGTGGAAACTGTGATTTATGTGGATTAAGATATTTTAATCTTTTATCCAAACTTTTGTTGAAAAACCATTCTGCTTCAGGGTTCATGGATCACTTTGGTAATGTGTCTATGTTTCCTATGCTAAGGTCGATAGCATTGAGCAGCTTTCATTAGCATTTAGAGAACTCAACGAGCCAGAAGACACTTCAAAAAGACTATTCCACGGCAGCCTTGGACTCATGCATGTTTCTCTTCAGCATTATTGAATTGTTACACAGTTCCTACATACAATTTATTCACAGCAGATAAGTTTCCTAAAAGAAAAATGTAATTTCTGACCAAGTAGGCTACGTTGGAGGATTTCCTTATAATTCTGGCTGCATCTACTAACAACATGCAGAAAAAGACCCTCACAGATGAATGAACACTGTTGGCTGCAGATAAATAAAGACGCAGAGTTTTTGGCACTTTACCTCGAGCAGAGGACACCGGCGGGACGTATTTAACCTTCATGTGTCTCTATCTCCAGACTGTTGTGCTGTCAGTTGTCTTGCTGCTATATTTACATGCACTCTGTACCTGATAAATATGAGATGTAGCTCAACTGTTAATGTGTGCACCTGTTGTCCTTGCAGCAACTGGTTCCACTAGTCTGCATGTCGACATGTCAATAAAAATGATGAGCCACCCGTTTGGGATAATATTTGTTTTGCATTCTTTACAGTTGAGGGGAGAGGATAGGTTTAAAATGTACCCACACAGGGCCGGCCCTAGACTTATGGGGGCCCTAAGCAAGCTTTGGCTTGGGGGCCCCCCCGCACATTCTCACTACACGCAACATGGAACCAACTTTTGTCTTATGATGTTAGCAAAAGCACACATTGTATAAATAACCATGTAAACACCGTGAACCTAACCTCCTTTACGGGGTCCGGGGGCATGCTCCCCCGGGAAGATTTAAAAAAAAATATTGCAGTTAAAAGCATCAATCTGGTGCACTTTAAGAGCAAAATGAAGAGATCTATGGATACATCTCTCAACACCCATATGAAACAGAACTGTGAACAGATTTTTCTTTAAACTGTATTCTTGTTTTGTCATATAGTATTTCATAACTGTTTTTCATTTATTCTCTCTGGCTGTCCATCTCACAATGTTCACATAGAAACTAGCTGTCAATAGGAATATCATTCAGAAGAATTACCNCTAGCGGTAAGATAAAATGCTTTGTGAATACGGCCCCTGAACATCAGCAGGAGAGGACTCTTTAAAGTAGAGACACCAAATACTGATATACACCTGAACATCAGCAGGAGAGGACTCTTTAAAGTAGAGACACTAAATACTGATATACACCTGAACATCAGCAGGAGAGGACTCTTTAAAGTAGAGACACTACTGATATACACCTGAACATCAGCAGGAGAGGACTCTTTAAAGTAGAGACACTACATACTGATATACACCTGAACATCAGCAGGAGAGGACTCTGTAAAGTAGAGACACTACATACTGATATACACCTGAACATCAGCAGGAGAGGACTCTTTAAAGTAGAGACACTACATACTGATATACACCTGAACATCAGCAGGAGAGGACTCTTTAAAGTAGAGACACTACATA